ATAAAACAAACCAGACAGCACAAAAATAAAAAAATAAAATGTTTGGTGTAACCAGGTTACAAGGTAGATGTCTGGTGGGGAGTAGCAGGTGAGGCTGGAATGAGGCTGTGGCCAGATTGGGTCGTGCTTGAATGAAAGAGAATTCTAGGCTTTATCTTGTAAACTATAGGGAGGCTGGAGAATTTAAGCAGGGAAGTGAACAGGACTGGTTTTGCGTTCTAGAATTCGCCTTCTGGAATGTTTTTCCTTGGGGAAGAACCCTTTGGGGAGCTGTCCTAATAGGCAGAGTTGTACTGTGGATGGAAGAAAGAGCACAGCTTGGACATCAAATCAGTAGGCTCTGATCCCTCAAACAAGAGCCGGAAGAAGGTGAAGGAGTCAAAGGTTTCTAATTTGGGATCCAGGTAGAAAATGCTGCCAACAAGAAGAGAGGAAAGACAGAGAAGGACCAAATTTGGTGTGGTTGGGGGTGAGGGCAGTGTTTCCCCACAAGCTATGGGGCCAGGCTCAGAAAGGGAAGAATGGAGTGGGAAAGTTGGAGGCACAAACTAATCGGTAGTCTGCTGAATATGCAAATGTGTGATGAGAGTGGATGGTAAAGATGGTGCTTGCAAATGAGGGGAGTGCTGCATTTTAACGCTGGGCAAGCATGTGCAAATCCTGATCCAACAAGCAGGAACTGAGCATCTTTGATTTCTGGGGCTGATGATGAAATAGCCACCATTTTTAGTCTCTATTTCAGCGGTTCCCAACATTTTAGGTATGAGGGCCCCTTCTTAAGATTAAAAAAAATCTCACCTCACCCACTCATACCTACAATAGTAGCTGTACTTTTAGTACTTACAGAGTGAGAAAAGACACATACATTTAAAGATCTGTGGACGCCTCACATGAAGTGCCCTTCTCTCTTCCTCAGGGGCCCATGGTGCAGAGACTGGGGCTGATTCCTGATCACGAAGGACACTTTGTGATAGTCAAAGTTTATAGAGATGACACAGCTTCCTGTCTCGTCATCCCTAAAGGGACACCCCAAAGGATGGGTGATACGTGACTCCCTCTTGATCTGACATCAACACAAAAGAATTAGCCACTCATATAAAAACTGAAGTATTGCTGTGACATGTCAGCTTGCTTTCAGACCTCTTTCTGTACCAACATTTAAATTTTTGTTGATTACACAAGCAGTGCATGCCCTTTATAGAAAAAGTAGAAAACACAAAAAATCACAAAGATGAAAATAAAACAAACTTACACTACCACCCAGAGGTACCATGACTAATATGTGTGAAGTCTTGCCATAGTTTGTCAATGAGAGAAATATATAGACACTTTTAAAATAAAACTGTCATCATATGCCACATAGCACCTTTTCCATTTACATTATGATCATTTTAGATCCCTAACTCTTCCTCTGAACCATGATTTCTAACAGCTGCAAAGGTGTTAGAGCACAATATTTGAAGCCACAGGCTTTGGTGTCAGATAACCCTACAGTCGACACCACACTGTTCAACCTATTGGCAGTGTGGCCTGTCAGTTAACCTCTCTTCACCCCAGCATCCTCATCTGCAAAATATGGGTGGCCATGGTATTGCCCTCACGGAATTCTCCTACTGGTTCTAATTAGTAATACACTCCAATAACTTAGCACAGTCCCTGGCATAAGTACTCTACTCACTAAATGTTTGCTGCACAATGTATTCTCTTCCATTGAAGGAGACATCACAATTTATTTTAACAATTAGAATCAAGTCACATTAGAATGAATAAACTTGTACATATTTATGAGACCCTTCTTAGGATAATTTCCTAGAAGAGAGGATCCCTGAATCTAAGTAAGGTATGAATCAGGTTTGCATTTGTGATCTATACCTCTAAAGTGCCCTAGGGGGAAAAAAAAGGTGGTATCACTTTATAATACCATTTCCCAGCACACTTGCTTACAGTGACTATTCTCATTTTTTTTTTTTTTAAAAGTTTTATTTATTTATTCACATAGAACTGGGGTACAGGCCAGAGGCTCAGGGGCGGTGAGAGGCTTCACCAGAGACAGAGCGGGGAGCAGAACAGGCAGATGGACGAAGTACACTGCTGAGGGGAGCAGCGGGCGGGTCAGGAGAGGTCTGGCTCGCCATGTGGTCTCCTCCGGGGCAGGCGGCAGGCGGGAATCGAACTCATGCGGAAGTGGCTTCAGATTCTCAGTGCTGTGCTTTAACCCGCTGCGCCACCAGGGAGGGCCGACTATTCTCATTTTTAAAATGTACTTGCCAATTTTTTTTCCTAGGGAGGATGCATCTTGAGGGTTAATTTGCATTTTCTTAATTATTAGAGATGCTTAACTCCCCTCTACATTTTAGTGGCCATTTGGTATTTTTTTATGGATTACTACTTTTTTTCCCCTTTTCAGGAAGTGCTCTGCAGATTAACCTCCTTTCTTTCTATCCTTCTATCCCTTTCTTTCTGTTGATCTGACGCCAGGTGGATGGCTCACAAAAGTAAAATAAGTCAGAGAAGGCAGCATGGCCAGAGAAGGCTCACACTCCTTCCACTGCTAGTATCACTGTTCTTATGCCATTTTCACTGACCTCTGTCTACTGACTCGCCGCTAACTACGACCTCAATTATTTTGCTTCTTTAGATCTTGGATTGCTAACCTGCAATGTTAACATTTAAGAAACACCACATAATGGGCCCTCCCTGGTGACACAACGACTTAGTTCTACATGGAGGCAGAGAGGGAACAGGATCAAAACTGGGGCGGGAAGAGTGCACCAAACTATGGTGATGGCACATGGGTGAAGTGGTGGTGGGAAGTCCACGGGGATTACAACTGAGATGAAAAAAGTACAAAATGAAGAATGATATACATATATATGTCTTAAAATAGTATCACACTCCTGCAGCCCGCTGTACTTCCGTATTTTGCTGCTCAGCACAACTGGTGAGGTTGATCCAGCTAGACTTACGATCCCATTTAGCAGGTGAAGCAGCTGAGACAAGGGAACCCAGGTCTCCTGATGTCTGGTCAGTGTTCTTTGCTCTATACAAAGATTCTTCTTTCTGCCTCCCTATTGATGTCCATCCTACCCCAACTTACTACCCACACATAGTGGTTCTGTTTTCTATTGCTCCTTTTAATTTGCAAAGGCTGGAAAAGTTGGAGATGAATTGGGCTTGGTCACCAAATGATCAATGTAGGAAATACGGCATATAAATTCAAAATACACGACTTAAGGAAAAAAAGGATTCCCACCTTATATGGGACACAGAAATCAGGCTAGAAGAGATAATAGGAAGAAGTGTTTACTTCAAGTTTGAGGGATGTAAGATGCATTGATGGAACAGACACTTCTGAGCTATGGTGAAAGGGCTGAGCTGTGGTGAACGGGAAGGTTTGCACACATGGAGTAGTATCGAGGGTGCTTTTGAGGGTGGAATGAACTCTCCTCTAGAGATCCCTCTGGATATCCACTTGTGGCTCTTTGCCACTCAAAATATCCTTTCCAGTTCCCTCCTCTAAAATTTATTTTCGGGCCCTCCCTGGTGGCGCAGCAGGTTAAAGCACAGCACCAAGAAGCTAAAGCCACTTCTGCATGAGTTTGATCCCCGCCTGCCCCGGAGGTGACCACATGGCACGGCAGACCTCTCCTGA